ACGGCTTGGCTAAAGGCCAGGACAACTTTGGTGGCGGAGTGGGGTCAGGAGGGCGCGGCACCGGCAGTCGTGGCAACTATAATGTTACTGCGGCCCATGTGCGGGCCGTGCAGGAGAAGGCCCGGTTGGCAGTGGCTTTCCTAGAAAAAGGATTCGAAGCCAGGGAACCGTACCTCAGAGCACTGACAAGCAGAGGAAATCAGCTAGAGTCTATTGCCTTCCGCAGTGAAGACACCTCTGGACAGCAGGTGATAGCCCAAATATTTCTTTGGTTTCAGCAATGAAATAAGGATGTTTCATTTTGCTGAGAAGCAGCTTTTGATGAAACATGACTACTTATATCAAATCTTTGTACTGTTTTTCATTGACTTGGTTTTCTATTCTTCGTCAGGGTAACAATGATGATGTGATTCTGTCCTGCTGTCTCCACTACTGCAAAGACAAGGCAAAAGATTTCATGCCCGATCAGAGAAGTATGTAATATTGACCGTCATTAATTGTCATTGTCAGTGTTCATATTTCCTCACACGTGCAAACACTTTGCATAATTTAATGTGAATAAAGTCTTATTTACTACTCATTGGCTCTTCCCCAACACACAGATGGGACAGTGAAGCTCCAGAGGGAGGTGGTACTCCTTACAGATGACCGTAACCTGCGCGTCAAAGCTTTGACCCGCAACGTCCCAGTCCGAGACATCCCTGCTTTCCTCAGCTGGGCCAAAGTGGGCTGAACCAGACTAAGCTGGAATCAAAGGAACCCAACTGCTGAAGCCTGCTTGCCACTCAGCCAGGAGAGGAGACACACTTAAGCAGAGGAAGAAGAGGAGGAGAAAACAGGGGCGAGGAAATGATTAAGAAAGCAAAGCACCACTTCTTATGAATTACAAGCAAATGTAGTGAGAGCAGGGTGGTTTCAGTGAGCTTTTTCCCCCTTGTGATGGTGTGTGTGTGTGTGTGTGTGTGTGTGTGTGTGGGGGTGTGGGTGTTAAGATCAGCGAGCTTCCCCAGAAAGAGACAGGGAGACATGAAAAGTCTCAGGAAGGCTGGACTGGAAGGGAGTAAGGAGGTTCAAATGGAGCAATTTGATTTGTAAGTTGTCTGGTCCAGCCTTGAGCCTCTGCGCCTAGTCAGTGAGTGTGTACTCTGCAAGCAGTATTCAAATATGAAGCTAATTGTAGAATGAGGCAGAGCAAGGGAGAGTGTTTATGGTCATTTAATTGATTAAAGACAGCAGTAATGAAGGCCATAACTGGCACTTCCACACTGCTCTGAGGGCCCAGTCATATAGACTGCTTTGGCCTCTGCAGTAAAGCAGAAAGAAAGGTAGGCGGAGAGAGGCACAGCTGGAGAGTCATTGTGACTACATTAAAAAGTGGCTAATTATAGTAAGGGTTAATTAAGACCCCTCATCCAACCTCAACACCTCCAAGGAATCGCGGAAGTGATCGATGCCTGTTTGGTAACTTGGGTTGTTCTTCCAGCTTGATGCTGAGATTAAGTTTTGGTATTGAAGGAAAATGTCGTCAACAACAACAACAACAACAACATTGGTTTATTATTTATTTTCCTAGTTTTAACGCAACTTTTTGAGCTCATACCAGTAAAAAGTTTCCTTTCCTTCTTACAGAACATTTCTCCATTTTGTAGACTGATCACTCTTAAAGTTTTCCCCAAAACGGTGTCAACAATAATCTTTTGAATCCATTATTTATCAGATCTGGTGGCAAATGTATTTGTGAATTACTAATTTCTGTTCATGAGCAGCATAAAAAATCTGAGATTTATTATATTAAGACTACTTAATTGGTTTGTGGTGATGGATTTCACCTCCAGAAATTGATGTTGAATTTTATGGGATTTTGATTTTGAAATTCTACCAATCTGTCACTTAAAAAATGAAACTAAAACAGACAAACAAACTTACACCCAGGTCTGCTTCAGACAACCACCATGTTAGGATATGGTTTGTTCCTTAACAGTGACTTTGCATATACCTTGTTATTGAGTACCTTTGCTGACTATTTCATTTTATTTTCTATTCACACTCATATCAGTCTTTTTGTGCTTTTCAGTTAATACCACCATAGCAGTTTACACTTTCATAAAATGTTTGTTTGAAATATTTAATATCTGTTTTCCTCTTCAGTGTGACCTTTTCAAGGTCGCATATCCCCTTTTTTTTAATTGAAAAAATATACATGAAGTATAACAATTACATAAATGAAAATATAGCCTATAAAATTTCCATTGAATTTGAGCTTTTGACTGTCAACATTTAACAAAAAGTTGGTATTTGTGTTTTTGTTGCTCTACGTTTTTTTGGAGACTGTATGTTTCTGTGTGTGTTTCAGCCAGTAGCTGGATGCTCAAAATAGATGTAATATATACCTATGTCCTCTGTTATGTTACATGATACATAATTAATTCACTCATCACAGTTTGGGTATATGGATTTAAAGTAATATGGTGTGTAGATGTGGCTTGCTTCCTATTTGTCTTGTACTTTTTCAGCTAGGCTCGTACAGCGTCCACCAGCAGTTGATATTTCTGTATTTGTGTGAAACGTCTGACAGGTTTATGCATTTTTTCCAGCCCCTCTGTTCTGGTGCTACTGTAGTGTTCAGTGCAGTCTACTGTGTTAAGTGTTTAAATTTCGGCGCAAATGTTGTAAATACATAATCAGTTTAACTCAAATTCCCATTTCATCTTCCATCATTAAAATGTTTTGAAGGCAGTGTTCTTTACCTTATTAATGTGCAAATGAAGAATGATATTGTAAGAATAGGCCTTTTTCATAGCAGACATTTTGACTTGTCAAACAGTTAAGGCACAGGTGATACTAATAACATTAACTATACCTCTGTTATATTCAGGTGTTACAGTAACTTGTGACAGTGAGCCAGCATGCACAATACCAGGATCTGGAATCTGAAGTAGAAACGAACAGAGCCAGACCATCAAAACTTGCCATTTTCACTTAAAAAAACAAAAACAAAAAAAACTGGATATATAGTTTTTGTGTACATTTAGATCACTAAATGAAAAATTGTGTTAAAACAATAATAATTAAACCCAGATAATCAAAATTATTACAAGAAACAACATGCATCTATAAATTAGCAAATGATCTGCTGAAAGTTATATCTAAGTCACTGACATACCAACACCTTCACATGTGTGCCCCTCTTTATATACAGTCTATGATGTGCCCTCATGTGGTAGCTGAAGATAGCACAGCGATGAAACCAAGGAGCTAGTAAAGAGTTTTGGGGTGTAGGACTTCAATAGAGGGAATGTCTTCATAAATTTATGACATGGACAAACGGAAATATATAGGTCAACTAAACTAGTTTAAAGGTTTAATGACTTCCTGAAATTCTTTTCTCAGAGCTGATACATTGTCGGTGCACTCCTACCAACGGCTTAAGACCCGTGCTTAGAGGCTTCCTACCACTCATTGTTACAAGAAATACACTTCAATAACAAGCAGGAGTGGAACAATATGCTCCTTCAGCATGTTAACAACTGCAGACAAGCACAACCATTACAAATGTGTTATTCTAGTTTGAATACACATCTATGGTTATACTCAAGGGGATTAATTTATCTACATTATATATACACACATAAATGTGTGTGTTACAGGGACGGAAAGTTCAACAGCCTATCCATCCATATCATTTGCTTCAGTATACTTCTGTGCCTGGATACAGACCACACAGGCAGGACCTGATTCCCATCATCATGACAACAGGGCTACCAAACAACCAATCAAAGCCCTCTGAGCCTCGTTCTGCAAGCTGATTGGTCTCTCAGCCTGCAGCCTGTTGTGGAATGCCCATCTTTAACCTCTCTGCTGCCTTGCACATTGCATACGTGCTTTATTTTCTAGATTGAGATTACAGCCACATAATTTAATCCTATGAGATTTGGTGTCACGTTTCTACTGACGCGATAAGATGTCTTTTTCATGCCAGAGCAACAACATCTTAATGAAATGTATTTCTGTGAATGTAGAAATAACAGAGGCTTCAGCTACATAAATGGCCACTTTTATGCTTCCCTGATGTAAACATAACGTGACGTAAAAAGTGACACTGTCAGAAATGGAAACGTCAATGCACTGGTGTCAATTTGCCAAGCTCTTTGGGGACAGAGTTCAGAGGTTTTGAGATCCATTGAAAGAACAGGGAAGCTCACCTGGCATCTGTAGTTGTTCATTTTACTGTTAAACCGTATTCATATTATATAACAATGTAATACCTAGTCATATCACTCCATGTCATGGACACATGCTTTCATAGGTTTCACCTTACAGGTCGGATGACTTAATCATAGTTTTATAGTTATATTTTAGTACACAATTAGACTATTGTTTAGTCTGCACAATATCTGTTTACCAGAATAAATGATGGACTTTTAATGTAAAACATCTGTCATCATTTTAGAAACAAGGTCTGATGCGCAGTGGGGTCCTTGGACAGCCAAATGTTGGTTGGGCCATCTTTCCTGAGATGATCTGTTATTGTTCTAGGATATATAAAACAGTTTTTTTTTTAACATTGTCTGTGCATTAACAACAAGCTTTTTGTAGTAGAAGCCACATTAACACTGAAACAGTTAATCAGGTTAGAAGCTCAGTGACTGAAAGTGCATGAGACCAAATATACACACACGGGGAATAAATGTCCAGTACTTGGTTATCGCCCCTGCATTCATATGAAGTAGGATGTTGTGTTGACAGTCATGTAACGTTAAATGGCTTTCTCCACGCAGACCACACACCTACACTTACAGTTGCTGGATGGCACAGCAGTATCAAACTCAGGGAGGGGGCAACATATACTCTGTAGGGGTAACGTTACTGCTGGACAGCATCAACAAGACTCTTCAAAACCGCCACACAGGTTCAGTTAAAGCAGACTGTAAGTTACCACTCCGACTCTGTGATTTCGATTTATTTGCTCCCTGATTCCTTCACGATGACGAAGGGAGGTGATTCTCCTCGCCGCCATTTTTAGGGAACTGCCTATCGATGAGAGGAGAAACTTTGCTAGCTACTGCCTAACAGCTAGCTAGTTGGCCAGTGCTGCCTGTCTGTACGTTATGACAGTTAACGCTTGACAGTCGTTAGCCAGGTCAGCTTGCCTCACGTTGATGTAAATTACTCCTGCAGCCGGGGCCAGTGTACCTGACAAAAACAACGGTTATTCCTATGAACAATTTAGCTCGACTTAAGTCAGCGTGACAGTAACGTTAGATATTGGTAAGGCAATTGTGCGGCTAGATTAGCGAGTTAGCTTGGCTAACTTATTAGCTAGCGAATTCACACTTTGATTTCCCTGGACTGCATTGCCTCGTCTGTGATTTGGCGTTGGCCACTCACTCTGCCGTGTTCAGGGTGACTGGATTAATCAGCCGTTTATAACGTTACCCCACTCAACCTTTGTGGATTAATTTTGACCAGGTGAGTTGGTCGCTAACTTTAGCTTTCTACTAACTAACAATGTGTAACGTATATATGCTAGATTTGTTCTCCAGCGCTACATGCTGCAGTGGAGCTTGATTTAAACATTGGTTAGCTCACGAGTTAGCCACCTAGATAGGTAGCTATTCGCCAGCTAACCAAAAGTTGCTGTCACAAACTTGGTCTGTCGCATCGACAGATTTTAGTCTGCTTTACTGGGCAACTTCAGTGATCCCTTGTTAGCACAGGGGCGTTTGTTTTGAATCCCAATGTAGCACATCAGCAAACAATGTAAATGTACATAGATCAGTGCTAGCAAGCTAAATTGTGAGTGGTTTGGTTTGTTGTAAATAATGGTAACGAATTGCTTTACCTAAGAAGCATTAACGTTAGCTAGCTGCATTAGCTTGCTAATCCGCTTTATGCATCTATGGTTGCAAGCAGTGCCACTCCCTCGTTTTTGTTTTTGTCCACTGTGGCTGTAACTCCCGTTAAGTGAAACTCGGTTTTGAATGTGTCTGTTTTGGAAGTTTGCTCATCTGTAAGGGACATCATGAGTCACATAACGTTACTGTCTGAATCGCTAGCGGTGTGTGACTGTAGGTGACATTGGTCAAAGCTCCTTCCATGTCTCTCGCACGTAAGTTATACTGCATGTCCCGGTATTGTGTTTACAAGCAGCATGAGCCAGGGGAGTCTAACAAATCATTGTGATTGTCATTGTGTAAGTGACAAGCAGAGCTCGCATCCATCTGCCGCCGATGCCTTGTTTTTGTGCACTGACGTGAGTCGCATTCCTCCGTTTTCTGTGTTGATATTGCGTAACACTGGCGATCACTCAGCAAGCTGCTCTTCTGCTTATCTGCGACTTCGCCGCTTAACCTCTGCACGACACACAGATTTGACATAATACTTTGAATATGCTCAAATCACGCATAACGTCAGTGGTTGTGACAGTGAAAGTTTACCATTCGCCTAACCAAGACGTTGCGCTCTGTTGGATCTGTCAAAGCTGATGTCCAGGGTTTGATGTCTGAAATACCCAAACACCCACGCATGCTTTATGTTTTGTGTGCTGTCTATTGTTACTGGCTTTGTCTGTCAAATAAGCACTGCAGTAGGAGCAGCCAACCTATCTTTGTTGGTGTCTTAAGGCTGTCCATGCTAGGCAGGTACCACTTGTCCTCTGACTCTTTTATCACAGATTTCAGCTAGGCTTGTTGTTCCCTGCTTTCCTATGTTCTCTGTAACCTGTGCTGACCTGCACACCTGTCATTTAGTCACTGATGTATCTGCACGCTTGTCAGAACAGCAGTGCTTTCACAGGCTGGTACTGCTCCCCTTCTTTACTTTCAAAGACTTTGCTGCTGGCCGCTGGTGAGAGGTACGCAGCTGTTATTGACAATGAACATCTCAAGGCATGAGAAGCCTTTGCAAAGTTGTGTTGTCTTGTGTGTCAGTGTTTGTATCAGGGGGCTCTGAATATGGGTGCACTGCAAAATAGATTTAAGTGTCTCCCAGGAAAAATGTATTGGACACTGGAACAAAGCCTACCCTGCTTTATAAAGTCTGGATCTAAGTCAGTCACTGACAGTAAGCCACTGCAGAACTAGTACTGGTCCCACAGTATGATCCACTGCAGTACTGCCACCATAATGTCATTTGTAAATATGTAATCTACATATGAATGACATAGTATGAGCCTTATTTAGCTTATTGATTGTAATGCTACAGTGACTTTATTCTGCTGCTGAACAGTTGGAAACCAATTGTGGATGAGTCAGACTGAGAGCCACCACATCCACTGAGATGACTTTGTAAACTCGGGTGTTTTTGGATGCCTGTTGGTCTTGTTGCTAAAGGCGCCACAGGGAGATTGTCTTCTTTTTCCTTGAGTGTCTCTTGTTTAGAGGAAACTTGGTGTGTTGTTGATGTTCATGACATTTACATTTATTCATTTAGCTGACGCTTTTATCCAAAGGCGACTTACAATTGCTATACACGTCAGAGGTGGCACGCCTCTGGAGCAACTAGGGGTGTCTTTCTCAGGGACACAATGGTGGATATCTCACAGTGAGAATTGAACCCTCCCACACCAAAGGCAAGCATCTTGTCTATGCGCCATCACCACCCCCATTTATCCCTACAGGACGAGTGTAAATGGAGCTCTGTGAGTGAAAAGGGATGGGTCAAATCCTCTTAGTGTTTGCTCACTCCATTCCTCTCCTCTGTCACCATCATCTCTCTAGCACCACAAATCGGGATGTGTTGTTGTTGATATTGGGTAACTAGAGAGCTTTCACTTCCTCCACTCAGTGAAAGCCACAATCTGTAATCAGTCTGGGAAGCAGGAGCATGGACACCCCACCCTCCATCTTTGAGAAATGTAGTGTGTAATGCGGCGTTCAGACCAAACACTGATTCTGACGTACCTAAAAAAACAAACAAAACAAAACAAAACAAAACCCAACATGGTGTAAATTGTCCTGCCTTAACAGGTGCAACAAAAACTAGGAGAGTGCGGGGGATGTCAGTCAAGCACAGTATGCACAGGAGAGGCATAATCAGTCAAAATAGCTATAAAAACCCCCACATATGTAGGTATACCATGGAAGTTTAGGGGTTCTAAGTAATGTAATCTGACAATCTGTTAAATGTGGTGGCTGCAGAACTCTGTAATTTGACAGGAATGATGATGAATGAGGATAACCTTTCAAATATATCTCAAGATTGCGTTTAACCTAATATTATGATTGTATTGGAAATCATTATCGGCGTAATTGTAGCTAGCCAAAATAAGACCTGGGACAATCAGTGTTACATTGGACTCATGACATGACAGTAATTGAAATGAGTGTGTGTTTAACATTACATGTACTTGTTATGGATTTTAAACAGCACAAAATGTGCTGTACTACTAATTGATATTTTAGGCTGGGCTTTAATCAGTGTTTCATGAAATTCTTTTGTATCTTTCCCATCCTGTCCATGTTTTCTCCACATTTTAGCAGAATGCAGGATTACACCTCTGTAGCTGACCCTGTGCAGCTAAGAGAATTTTGCTATCGGGATCAATGATGTATTTGATTATTTATTAGCCTTCTCCATTTCTTTCTCTCTCTCTCTCTCTCTCTCTCCCTCCGTCTTTGTGACACCCCTTGCTCCGCGGCTTTGAGTATTGGTTGCCTCTTCATTAGGTGTCTTGGTGATTTTACAGTGCAGAGGAAATCAATTCACATAATACAGTCAGAGAGAATCCATTTTCCCGATCGGTAAAGCCAAACAACTTTGGGTGCATTTCTTGAACACGCTGTTCTTTGTGATACAGTGTGTGTGCATGTCTTGCAGTCCAGTCCATCTCCTCCAGATTCAGTTTGTGTGTGTGTGTGAGAGTGTGTGAGAGAGAGATACAGATTCCTGATTGTGTATTTGCTTTTCTTTCTTCATACTATATTATCTAGTCTGTTAGAATGTAAAATATATAGTAGGATTTCCAATAATATCTTCCTCTCCATGTGTGTACCATTGACTCATCCAGTTTCAACAGAAATATCAAATTTAAGCTGGGGTAGTCGATGCTTATTTCAGAAGCATTTTTAGTTATATTTGTTGAAATTCTCTTTACATCCCGACAGCAATCAATAAATGAAATGCGCGGACACAAAGATGTGACACCTCTTGCTACTCAGCGTTGTGAACTGATAGGAGATGTCAGATGACATTTACCTTCCGCAGATTCTTACCTGCTTGCACTCTGCCTGTGCACCCCCAATGCAGGAAAATGTGTTATGGGGAAGTGGCTTTGGGAGGGAGGCTTGAAGGGTTGGGGAGTTTTTTTTGTTTGTTTGTTTGTTTGTTTTTCCTCTTCGGTTTAATATTATCAATATCTAGCTGTCTCGTCCTGGCTCTCCAGTGTTGCTTTCCCCAGCTTTAAGGAACCAAGATGCTCTAACATACAGTTTCCTTGTTCCTAAGGAAGTGTGGCCATCTTTTTGGGCTGGACACACCCAGGACTAAAGGTCCACAGGGCACGCTTTCCAGTCCACCAAGCCACCAATGGATTGTTTACACTGGTGTGACTTAATCCAACCTAAAAAAATGTAAATATTCATAATTACTATTGGTTTAAAAAACAGTGAAGATTGGCCAACAATGTCTAAAAAATCACACGGTAGAAACAAGAATAATCAATGAATGAAGGTGTGAGTGCCGAATCATTGTAAATAAAGTAATCAACCATGGTTCTTTTTTGTTGTTGTTGTTGTTGTTTTTTGTGATGCAGTGGTTGCTGGGTGCAGAGCCATTACAGGGGCAACACATGACCGGGGGGGGGGGGGGGGGACAGAGTCAAAGTAGAGTTGGACAAATCTTTTTCAAACACGGGTGTAAATAATGTTATTATTTATTGTTGAAATTGCTGGAAGTGAGCCATTGTTTATGTTCGTTCCACCTGTGCATTTCTTGCTATGACAGGTCAAGAAAAAGGTCTATGAAGATTACACTATTTGGGAACAATAAAGAAACGAGCACTTTGATGCTCATGAGGCTACCAAGATTTGGGTTGGCGAGATTTATTAAGAAAACAAAACGGTGTGTGCGGTATAAGATGGAAGACTTTTGACAGTCAAAGAAAAACAGGTTGTTTTTGTTAAGATAACACATTGAATCCAAATGATGCTTATCTTGATCTCAAGATACTTTTGTGTGCAGAGTTAAACCGGAAATGCAAAACATTCTTTAAAAGAAACCCACACTGTCAGCATACTGTTATTTCACTGAAATTAAATGTGGGTCCTTTTTATTGCCAGTTTCCCCCTGTATTATTGATCACTAAACTGTCTCCACACTGGAAAAGCCCTCACAGCTGTCTTAGAAGCACAGATGTCCAACAATACACGGAACATTTTTGCATCAGAAAAGCATTACTATTAGAACAATAGAAAATAGTCCAGTTTTTGGGAAATAAAATTCTTATGGATCGAGGACCAGAATGTCTTAAT